TGGAAGCAGTACAGAGGAACACTTCTAAAACTGTAGGAGAAAAATTGCAGTGAACCTTAATTTCAGATTTTCTACGCAATTCTGCGCCTCTTCCTGTGGCATTGAGTCTAGCGGCTCTGTCCCAAGGTCTTAACATACACGTACCCTTTCAGCTTGTGTCTGTCTTGTCGGTAGGTGGCGATAATATTGAAACTCGTCGAAAACAAGGAGAAAACAGCAGGCATAAATGAGTGCACGCATTCATATGAAAATAAAGAAAAAGGAGAATATTGCTTTTCATTCACATTTAACGAAGCTGTGTCTATGCATGTCTTGTCTTGTATGTGCAATGAATAAGGGCAAACATCTTAGTTGAGCCTGCATTTTTCCAAATAATTAAAATTGTGGTAATGAATCATGGCAAGCCACTTTGACGTGGTGTCAATGCACAGAATGCTGTAAGTGTGTTAACAAATGCTGCATCATATTCGTGAACTCTATTCAGGTGTGACATATTTGCTTATCTCATATATTTTGCATGATTTGATGATCTTGAAAATTTGTGTTCTCTTTGGCTTCCTGGCTGTATGAAGCAGCAATTTTGCCATATTTTTCCTTTGGCACGAAATTTTAGCAACAGTGTCTTAGCCACAGCTTTTGGTCTCATTGCCTCTCCTCATAATGATAAAAAATATCAAAGAATGTGCTGTTTTGTGGCATCCATCAAACATGAAAAAACAGTTATGCATGTATGCTATGTTGTTAGGATATGCAAGGAACTCCTTCATTTTTCATTCAAGTGCACTTCCACAATGATTTTAGGCAGATATAATTTTTGCAATTTAGAAAGAAAATCTATAGTTGCATGCTAAAATTCTTTAAAAAATCTGAACAGAAGAATACCATAAATTTGAAACTTTAGCTACCTGGTACGCAATATGACACCGGCTGAAAAAAAAATATTAACAGAATAAAAGATTTTAAACTCAACGTATCACTGATACCATGCATTGTAAATGTGCAATATATAGTTTCTCAGTTTCCTTAATGTTTCTGGTACACCACAACTGGAAGGCATTGTGCTGATGGCAACGTAAAGTGGCAGAGAAAGTTTTACTGAGGAAAAAGTGGGATGCATTCATCCTATTAACCATCAAAAGGTTAAGAAATTGATGCTCAGCAGTGGAGCTTCCTCCACAGCAACAAACAACCTGCATTGAACCACAGTGCATGCACACACCATCTCTCCAGCACTTTGCTCATGCACTCTGTCATGGCAGAATTTGGTACCAATGCAGTGAACAGCTGTAGGCCACTGTTTTCAACATGTGTTGCATATAAGACTCCATCAGCAACAACGGTTGGTGAAAACTGTTTCATTGCCTTTTTTGTGTTGCCAATGCGTGATTAGACATTCTGAATTACGAGCTTTCCAGTGACATAAAAGAAATGTACATTAAAAAAATTGATTGGCCGTAGGAAATAATCAGGTTCTCGAAATCCAGAGAACCGTTAAGAAAGGGTCCGTATTCATTGGTACAAGCACATTCCTGAAGCTGAGTAGCCAGCTGCGCTACACAACTTCTCAAGTCTTTTTTCTTTTAATGTGCCAGGGCGGATGTTGTGTATCATACTGTTGCACAAGTTTTCTTTTACTTTGGTGTACTTAACATTTTAAAACATTAGTAAACTTTTAAAACATATACAGTTTTGCAAATCATGACTGTTGAATCGAACACAACAAAATTAAATTTGGAGTGTTAAATCACTTAATATTTCTAGAGATCGAATCACACTTGTCTAAAACACCCAGCCGACCGTGGCATTCTGCAAAAATATGTTAATGCCGACGCCGTATGAATATCTAACATGGCATACGGCGTGCTAGGCCTTTGTGCGATAATTTAAGCGTGAACAGAAGCATGGAGCTAAGGTGACGTAGAAGCCGTCACTAACAAGAGCCATGCGCTCCGCTGCTCTGGACAAGTGTGATTCCACCTGTACAGCTGCAGTGTTGGCATTTTTTTGGTGCATGAAATTCTCCATGTTCACTTTACATCTGGTCTATTATATAAAAACATGGAAATAAAAAGAATAACAAATAAAACCTTCTAGGTCTGAGTGAGAATAGAAGCCAAGCTGCTTGTGTGGCAAGCAGGCATTCTACCACAAAGCCACGTGCCTGCTTTACAAATACACGCGTCTAGTATACACGCTTCACAATACAATATGTAATATCGCAGTATTTCATGGTACAAATGTGCACTGCCACTGGCCATCAGAACGTGTGATTATCATAATGACTTCGTTGTTTAAAGCAGCCACGAAAAACAAAAGGCACAAATGCTACTGGAGTATTCTCCTAGGACCATGTACTGGGTGCATATCAAGTTTAAAAACATTTCATGCACATAGTTGCTCGTGGTTTAAAGCATACTACACAGTACCTGTATTGCGTGGTCTATCCTGTGTCCCATCTCTGCGCTCTTCGAAGTAACTATGTGTACGTATCAACAAGCTCGCTTAGCCACCATTTAGAAATCCATTACGCAGACTGCAACTATATGCGAAACCCTTACTAGCACAAGCCACTTCAAACATTGATTACGTAGTAATAATCTGCAGTATGAACTTTTCAAGTAATGTTACCCTGCAAAAAGTATGCACTAGGTGGTTGGAGTATGCACTAGGGATAGGATATCACTGTTGTGTTCTACTCAAACCTTGAGGGTCCCCTAATTTTTTTCACCAAACAATTGTAAGATTCATAGATAGTAATGTTCCACAAGCATGGTATTGTAAATAATCACCCTTTTGGCCTATACTGGAAGAGTGGAGGGGGTGTTGTTAGGAGTGAATTTACAGGCTGTTAAGAGTGTATGGAAAATTTGACAGATTGTTGTGTAAGTATGCAAGCGTTAGGGCATGTCAGTTCATATTAAATACCTGAAAAAGATCACAGGCAGGGGTCCTGATAGGACTCTTGAAAGCATTTCATCCTAGGAAAGAAGTGATGTGTCATTGACACATCTGTTGAAACTTGGAAGGTCAGAAAAGTATTTGAAGCGTAGGTATGTGACGTTTCTTGACAATACATGACTGTGACATTGCACACTTCCATACTGCACATGTGTCTGTTTCCTAACATACTTGCTAGCAAAGCCACAACAGGGTGTTTATCAATTAAAATTTTTTCAAATTTAGTGATTTTTCCAGGTTTTTCACATAGATTAAAAGCAAACTCCAAGACCATAATGTCTTCTTGGAAAATGTGCAGTGGAAAGAACACTTTAGCAGTAAAAAAATAAAATAAGAGGCACTCATATAAAACAAATGAACACATTTTACACACTCACTCATAATGTTGTGAGTGTATGTGGTAAATATGAAAAAATGTGTGTATCTGGTCAAAACAAAACTTGCGACCCAGGCACTGAGGAAGTTGGCTGTTTGGTTTTTGGAACAACTAGAACACAACCACACAAATAAAATCAACTGCAGCTGCAAGTTTGAAGGAGCCTGCGATAGTCCAACAGTGCAGCCAATGCTGCTAGGAAACGTAAAGGTGGCGCTATCTCATGGCATTCGTATAAAACAAGGATGCAACAGCCCGGCCAGTTGGCTTACTGGAGCACATTCTAGTTCATTATAATGGCTATAACCTGCAGGCCATTTAGGATTGGATTAGATTACCTTGATCTAGACTGCTGTACTTACTAATGATTTGCATCCCCGTCTCATTTGTACATGTCTAAAATATACTTTTCAGCAAAAAGGAGTACTTACGTATTTTATGCGACCTTGTCTTGACAAGGACTAACAACAATGTCGCGACAACGAAACTGTACAGCAAAATTTACTTTATCCTTTCTTTCACTCTCTTTTTTTTTACACAATGCACACGTGCTTGTTGGTGTTTTATTTCTCTGGGTTCTGACATGTGGAGCACAATGAAAGTACTCATACACCTGCAAAAAAAGCTGCGGTAGCGTTTGAAGCGCTGATGTTTGAATATGGGGTGGAAAAAAGGAATCTGTCAGACCGCAACTGCTTCCCCGATTCCATAGGTAAATAAAAGATGCAGAATCGTGAGTTAGGCAAATTGGTGAGTGTTCACCGTAGAATATTTTACAAAGGAACGGGTTAGAAGCAGTCAGAGAGGGTCACAGCGCTGATTTCACAACTGAAATTTATTTGGAAAAGGAAAGAACATATATAGAAAATATTGACTCATCAAAACTATGCCCATGTACACATTTGTTACAACACAGAATGATTCATGTCTTCTCTAAGACCTTATGTTCTTCATCTAGACGAGTGTTACATGAAATACTTATGCACTTGTTGTTAGATCTAATGAAAATGCTTCGACTACTTCACACATGCGCTAATCAACATGTCAATATTTGATATTTGTTTTCTACAAGTGGGGCACACACAGGCCTGGGTAGTATCGCAATAGTATTTAAGAGATACTTTTGAGTGTCTGTATTGCTGTATCGAGGCACTTTTAAAAAATGTATTTGTATCTCAGTAGTGAAATACTTTCACGGTGTATCGCATGTATCGCGATACTATCCAGGACACGGATAATTTGTTACTTTTTTTTTTTCGTAAATGAGCTGAGACGTGTTGACAATGGGGAAAAAAATTTCTGCTGTGACCTTGGCAGTCCACGGCAAAATATGCACCCACCATTTCTACATTTCTGCTGAGGGCGAAACTGACTCCTACCTTCTTGAAAGCGAGCTAGTTGCTTTGCTACCCGCATCCCATGATGTGTTTGAATGATGGCCTGCTTCAGCGTGACAACAATGTTATACTGCTATATTGAATTCCAGCACAGATATTTTCATTGTGAGGAGTATTGTATACTCCTCACAATGGGCGCCATTTTTTAAATGTATTTCCTCATGCCAATTGAATGAGTAGTGTTTGTTTTTCTCGTTTTTTTTTCCACTTTTCTTTTGCAGCGCCCATTTGAAAAACTGGAGCTTATTGCGGAAGCCACAAACCACCCAAAGAGAATTTGGTGCCATGTGCCATCTACGATACTTCTTTCTGCAGAGCATTTCTGAAAAACGCCAGCATGGCCAAACAGCGATTCGAAAGAGGTCTTTTTGAGTTTCCTTTCGCATTACTTGTTTTGTCCGTTCTTAATTCTTTCTGCCTTTTCTAAGATGTTTCTAGAAAACACTAAACCTTCAACTGGAAGTTCGTTTGTTAATGGTTCCAGCACTTCGCTTGAACTATGCTCCTTCTAGCATAACTAATAGTGTTGCTGTTGAGTTCCGGATTTCAGTGTACAATGCGTGTGACTGATGCTCTCATATGGCATAGTTTTTTATTGCAACTGATATCTGTAAATATGTGGTTATTAACAATTATGTGCAGTGTAAGCATCCTTTGTAATGCCTTAATGACACTCGGAGAATGGCGAAAATATAATAAATCAATTTCATTTGCAAGTTTCAATATGCTGCACATAACAAATGTTTGTATGGAGTATAACTATCCCCAACATAGACAAAAGTATTTTAGTATATGTATTCTGGAATACTTTTTTGTCTTTTTGCAAACGTATCTCTGAAATATCCTGTCACATGAATTTACAAATTTATCTCAGTATCTGTATTTTATGCTTCCAAACCACGCATTTCGATATCTGCATTCCAGAATACTTTTTCGGGCATCTCTGCCCAGCCCTGAGCACACATCCACATGGCCTACAACGAGCTGCCAAATTAGACGTGATTTTAGCATCTGATAGCATCAGCCCATGCTCTCTTAAGCACGCGTTTATGTAATGCCCCATTTCACTTAAATATTCGCAGCTGCAAGACAGTGGAATCCCATAAACCACGCCAGTAGTGCAAGGAGCATATCTGTGGACATGACTGGAGACACATTTGTTCCCTTTCCCTGGCTGCTGACACAATGCTCTATCCACCAAAGTACACACATTGTGCACTTTATTACGTGCTGAGAATGACATGTTTATGCAATAACGAGCACCAACATTTTTCAAACCATGTGCTATCCTGTGTATGTATGGGATAACTACCTGCCTCTTTTTCTTGCTAATTTCTAGTGCACTAGAATCACAATGATAAAACTTCTCTATCTTTGAAATAAGTTTTTCCGACAAGAAGCAAATCGCGTCACTCGGAAAGCCAGAATTTGCAAGGCGAGCAACTTGTGCATCAAATGCATGCGCCATAAGGTGCTCGCGTAACTTCTGAAGAGCGGCCCCCAGCACAGTTGATGCAATGGCTCCCTGTATGGTTTTGAGTGGCCAGAATTAAAATTTAAAATTGGCTTTATGCATCTAGGTTGGTATTGCTATATATGTGATCTTTGATGAAAGCCTGTCTTAAATCGAGAAACTGTAGCTCATCAATTTTTTCAAACTCCAAAGTGAAACGCTGACATTTCGTTTTCCTTAACATCTTTCTTTATATTAGCAACCAGTAAAGAGCAATTGTTAATGTCCAGTAGAACTAAGAAGTCATGGACATATCAAACAGCGTGTGATGATAACCAATTCAAATGCTTTTGCAGCTGCCCGTCTACATACCCAAGAAAAATATAACTAATTACAGGTATATTCATGATTCAATGCAGATACCACATTTTTGGACAAAATTATTTCCCTGCCAAGACACAACGGTAGAATTTAGGTGCCCTGCATGAGCTCTAAAAACGACGCAATAGAGATGCCACACTGGCACTGAAACAACAACTCATCATTATCTTCTCTCATGCACTGCTTTATACACTTCAAATCTTCACATTAGGGCAAACAATAATATAAATCTTTTACGTCTTTACCGAATGCATTACGGCACAAAGAAGGTTGTTCACTTGAACAAGATAAGATGATAGATTCTGAGTTAGAAATTCTTAGCGGATCACAAGTCTTCAAACGCTCCGAATTTCTTTGAATATACTCTGAAACATTTATTTACCAAGTGTCTTTTTCTGAAACAACAGCTCTTAGTGGCAACATGAATCTTCACTGAAATAAAAACTGATAGTTTTTGCCTTTTTGCTTTTTTTACACTTGCCGCTACATGTTCCTGATTAAGCGTTAGTAACAGGGCATAAACTTATTCGTTCAGTCACCCGCTTTGTGCATCAACACTTTTTTTTATTAATATATACCCTAAAGGCCCATTCAGGCATTACGCAGGGGGTTTTAGTTATACAATAAATTTGCAAATCAGAACATTGCTATTATAAAATTAAAGTGGTAAACAATGTAAAATACAGTTCCATAGACAAAGATGCAAAAGCAAAAAAAAATTGTGGCAGGAATGAAAACTCAATAATAGAGACACAGCTATAGTGCAAAAAAATATATATACAGAAAATTGCCATGAAAAAAAATTGCCCCCTATCTGCATATTTGACCAAAAATGTCGTCGAAAGACTATTGTATTTCGCCTGAAAAGAGTGAATAGACAGAAATATTTATTTGATGTTTAGCATGAGAAAACTGGTGAATGGGATCCTGGAGGTGTTGCGCGAGACATGAGTGCCATCTGGCGGTAATTTCAGAAAACGAAAGGATGGCCTTTGTTATAGCGAGCACGCAGCACGCAGCATGCGTGCAATCTTGGAGGCCATATTTTGTAGATTTCAAGACAGGTAGCAGCACAGTATCGTCTTAGCAAAGCGTAGGAGACGCCTTTCCATGCGAAGCGTCGCATTGTCAGCTGCAGTGCTTAGAATTACTTATTTATACCTTTTCTAATATAAATAAACACAGTGCACAATATTGACGTCTTAATATTGTGCCTCAAATATGCTCAATATTTGCTTTTTATTGACAATCGTACAAGTATGAACGCAGAAACTTGAGCAATACTGGTGGATGCTGTGGATGTGGTCGTACTTGAGCCTTTTTGCTGACAGACCAAAATTTTTGCATTGGAGTATCCCAAGCAAGACTATCATGTTTAAGGACAAAATATATTTACAATGAAAGAAGAGTAAAAATAAGCACATACATGCGCTTACAAACTCACACAGATAGGTAAGTCATATGTCCAAGAAAATATCGAATTGGTTTACAAAGGTGGCACGATCAAGGAATCAAGCGATGTCGCTTGGCAGTGTGTTCCAGTGATGTGTGCTTCGAAGTAATGGTGAGTGTTGATACATAATTGTGCGTGCCAAAAAAGGGTGTATTTTGAATTGGTGATCAACATGTTTCAAAATATTATGAGGTGTGTTTGTACAAGCTTTATGAAGGCACATTTACTATGATAAAATGTACGAAAATGCAACAACAGTGACGACAGTCTGCGTTTTTCAAGAAGGGGTAATGAAAGTGAGTGTGTAATATCTGTAGTGCTGCAGTTGCGAGAATACCACTTGGTGATAAATCCTTCTGCTTCATTTTATTTTAATTCTAGTTAATCAATGAGATATGATTGATGTGGGTTCTAGATGATGGATGCATATTCTATCTTCGAACGGACAAGTGTAGTGTGTGCTAGCATTTTAGAGGTATAGTTCACCAAGTAAAAGTTTCTTTGAATAAATCCAAGTGCTTTTGACCCCTCACTAGTTATGATATCGATGCGCTTATTCTAAGGCAGATCAGAAGATAAATGAATTCCAAGATACTTAAATAGGGATACTTTTTCAATGGGGAGAGCTTGAATTTCATGTTGACTCATTTCTGTTTTATGTGCTCTTGTAAACGTCATGGCCTTCGTTTTGGAAGTGTTAATTTGCCATGGTGACACCAAAATGTGAGTTTATTAGTGTCCAACTATAATGGCTCGTTAGCTTGGGTACTGTCAATTTTTCTATAAATGATGTAGTTGTATGTAAATAATTTGATAGTAGATGACAAACCATGTCCAATGTCGTTGATGTAAATGAGAAACAAAACTGGTCCCACGATTGATCCCTGGGGAACACCAGACTTTGCATGTGAAAGTGAAGATGCATGTCCATCCACATAAATTGATTGGCTGCAGTTGCTCAGAAAATGATTTATTCAGCTTTTTTCCAAACCAGCGGCTACCTTATCATTATACATAGAGCCATCTAGAGTTGAAAAGAAGCTTTCCTTGTCAGCAACCAAAACATGCAACTTAGCTTCCAGATGCGTCTCAGACAGCATGAACACCGTTGTGAGGAGTGACCAGGCTATGTACAACAAAGGCAAGCTGAAAAAGCCAGTAGGCTTTTTTTGTGAAGCTAAGTTGCGTGTTTTGGTTACCTTCAAGCTACCTTCATTTGCGTACTCTTCTATGAACATAATGATAAAAAATAGTCATGGATTTAATAACACCATCTCAAGGAAATGAAATGAGAAGCGAGTGTGCTACTCTTGAAATATCTGCAATAAGTGCATAGTGGAGGACGTTTGCAGCTGCATTGCCAATAATAATAATAATAGCAGTAATATTATACAAGGCAAGACATAGCCCAGCGCTTGTGATGGCAGTTCTAACATAAGCACCAAACTAAAAAGCCTTCAAGCCAAGCCAAATTTGTGGCCACGACAAATATGCACAAATTTACCGATGTGAGAAATGCTGTGCTTGGAAAGTCAGATATGATATGTGATATGTTGAAGGAACATACATCAAAATAGTGCATGTACCAACATGAAAGCTAAGGAATGCTTTAGTCAATAGGAAGAATAAGCTGCCGAGCGAACTTTCTGTAGTCTTCTTTACACTGTAATCTGCCACGAGTGTGACAACATGTCAGTCTATGAGACCTGTGATTTCAATGAGAGAGTTAAACAACACAACAGTTCAAAATGAAGTCACCAAATAATGGGTGGCCTTGGATGCCCTCGCTGAACATGCGGAATATACAGGCTTTCAAATTGACTGGTCAAGCAACCGTGTTCTGGTCGAAGAAAACAAGCTTGCATCATGCCAGTACCTGGAATCCCTGCAAATTCACACAGCTGCACATATACTCAGTAAGATTTATGGAACGCTGACCATATACTTTTGATGCTTACATCACGCACCTAGTCATACTTAAATACGATGTACCTTTCTTATGGCTGTCATTCAGAACAATATCAGGTGCCCAAACATCAGTAAACTTTGTGTTATTTTGGTCGGTGTATCCTTTTGTTTGTACACTAAGAAGAAACAGTTATGCATTGCCTTTTTTTAGGCCTCTTCTAGCTGTTCACTATAGTTGCAGTCGAAGGAGTGACTTTTTGAGTATTGATCAAGGGTAATGCTTATTTTTGTGATGGTGGCACAGACTGCCGCCAGTTTCCATGAATTAGCTAGGTTTTACCAAAGTTCCTACAGTTTTCCAGCAAGGCCCCAATTCTCCATCTTTCCCAGGTTGGTAGACACCCTGCACAAACAAAGATAGATGGCAGTTAACTCGCGTCCTGTTCCCTGTCTTATGCAAGTGTCATTCTGCACTTTATTACCTTAGAAGTACTTGCTGCTAGGCAGGTTGGTATAACATTATTAGGGAAAATTCTAGACGATGCGAATGTGTGGTGCAGTGTAAATATTTTCTGTAGTTCAGCTGCGACCGATGCTCTTTTTTTGTGCTTTTTCATTTTTCCAGTGGTGCTTAGGCATCTATAATTTTCCCCCTTAGCTTAATTACCTCCCTGAAGCTATGCATCATCTTGCCCATTAACAACCATTGTTAAACTATTGTATGTGGCATTGTTGATTCAAAATGACCTTAGTGTATATGCTAAAGCTCCTGCAGGATCACCCGCTGAATGTGACAACCAGTTCACCATTTATAGGACCCGAAGTATTGACATTTTCAATATATCTGTTCGCACAGTGCTTCATTGGAGTCATGCAAGCTTAAAATATGGTGCTCCCACAGAGAAATTTTTCTTCCTGTGCTGTGACCAACGGGAAAACTATGTAGACAATAATGAAAAGAGATCACAACTAGGCTTAGCTGTGTGATGGCTGCCTCAATAAAAATGTAATAAATTAATGCAAGTGTGCTTATATCACCATGGTGTTGCCAGTTTATTACTACATTTGATATGAATCTCTGCTCGCTCCACCATGGTGTTCCTAAGGGTGTACACAGTCTTAACTCTGAGACAGCATTGCCAGAACTAATTTCACTGTCACAATCTTGAACAGGTGTGCAACAAGCATGCGCCAGTGCAGAGAACACAAGAGAAGTGGTCACTGCTTGCATGTTCAAGGTCGTATGCACGCACACCGGACTATGATTTTGCAGTGTCTTACATTTTGAGTGGAGTATACATCGTGATGGCGGGAGCCATCTCTGTGGTCACCAGCTAGACTGTCACAATGTGCATATTGTTGCTTCCCGGTTTTGTGGAGTGGCTGGCTCTGTTGGTCCTCCAGCCACACGGCACTGTCCAAATAGACCTCTCCC